CTACTGAGCTATCTCTGCCCCTGATGTTCCACGCTGAATTGAACCTATGGGCAAGAAAAATGTACATGTTGAGAAACATTTAAGTCAGACTGAGTTTATTTTTCATTACCTTTTGTGCAGGGCGGCAGTACAGCAAGCTTCACGTAAGAAAAAGAAAACAGTTCAAAGTGCTTCACTTTAAATAAAACAGCAGTGATAACGAAAATACAGTAATAGAGACGGAAGTCACAATTTGGTTTTATTATGAAATGCTAAGCTATGTTCAAACAGAGTAACCTAGATAGAGATATGAAAATGAAAAGAACTGAATTTGGTAGAGTAAGATTTCTTTTACATTTTCCAACTGTAGGAAAGTTTCTTGTGTTACTGTAAATAAACTGAACATGAGGGTAACTCTACTTAAGATTTATTTTGACAGTGTCAGCAACTAAAGATGACTTTTATAAGCTGTACCTAGAATAATCAGTAGCTCCGACACACACGTTAAAAAGATCACTAGTGAAAGACTTCTCCTGACTCGGGCTGGACAAAACACAAACAAACAAAGCTTTTAAAATAAAGTTTGGAGTGCCTACCATGCATTACAGTCACATCCCTTCTGTGCATCTTTACCTTTGACCTCACAGATCATTATCCCACTGACCTCCATCACAGTGGAGGCTGCTCTTCATCGTTCTTCAAACAACTTTCACACGCTTTTAGCTCATCAACCGTCTTTAAATCACAGTAAAATTTAACATGTTGAGCTGAAAATCACTAAAATAATTTTATAGTAATTTGAACTTTATATGGGAATTATATTTTTCATAGCAAAGCCCAGTGCTTTATTTATGCAGCATTTACCACTGTATACAGCTACCAGTAAGCATGTATAAAAATGTACTGCGGCTCAATATGTAACCTGTAAACATGAAAATTATAATATTAGTCAAATTTAAATAAACTCCCTCCAATTTGCCCTTTTTTGTTAGATCATAGTGATTTTAAATTATCTCAAAAATGTTCATGCAGTGTGATTTTAAGAGGGTTTATTCGCAAAACACAACCATCTACAGCCTGAAAAACAAAATCATAATGAGAAGTCTTACCCTAAGGTAAGTAGCACCAGTTTGAATAAAACTGCATATTAGAATAATGATTGAACAAGTTATGTATCATAAAATCACTTACATTTTATTTATTAGCCATAAAAACATATTTTATTTCACCAAAAGTTAATTTATTTTTCTAAGCATCCACATTTCTGTAATAAAAGTACCCTATGGAGTTTTCTGATCACTATTAGCAGTATGTTGTGGTTTTTACATACACTATAAGACCTGTTTCATGCAGTTAGAATAACTCAATTTTAATCTCTTAGGTTTTGTCCTTTTCATTACAGTTGGTAGAGTGAAGCCAAAGCCTAAATTTGTAGCAATGCACCAACAAAGCAGAAAAGATGAAAGCTAAGAACCAGAAATATAAAATATTTTTCAAAATGCTTTGCAAATGAAAATTACACTCAACACCCTGACCTTTTAAACACCTAACAGTATGTATGTTTCTTAATAGAAAACTCCACAGGGCACTTTTAAAGTCTCGCTAATTCATAATCTAACAGTGTCTGTTTATTGTGAACACTTTGAAGAACAAACGAGAAGCTCTTACAACACTTGGTGTGATGTCTGAATGACTTTAAGACAAACAGAGCTCTCTTTCAAGCTAATCCACAAATACAGACATGTATGCTAACACCCTGACAGCCAGTCACACAAAGCATTACACAAAGCATTTGTCAAGTATAAAGTTCTGACCGAAGTTTTCTTCAGCACTGCAGCAACAAGGGACTAAGACTCCAGACTTTTACATTGTTTCTGTGGCTAAGATTTTCTGCATCTGTACATTAAACATAGAATCCTGTTTTTTTGTTTTTTACACTTTTGTCTTGGCGCTTCATCTTGGGTGTAGCTTAAGAAGTGGTGAACCCCCTTGCTGTTCTATTAAAGTCTTTTGGTTCCTCATCTTTACCTTTTCGCCCAATCAGGCCCATTTCAAATACAGTGGAAATTTTTGTGACCGGCCTCGATGCTGCCTCTTTGAGCTTTTTAGCATCAAATTTTGGACTGAAAAGCAGCACAGGCAACCTGTACGCGAATGACGGTATTTCTTTCAGCTCATCTTTTTCCCCTTCTTTCTTCTCCTCCTCACTTTTATTTAACTCAATCTGGTGCATGATGTTCTCCTTGGAAGAAAACATTTGGAAGAGGACAGCGTCCCACATTTGTGTCGCCTTGGGAGTGTCTTTGGTTTGGTTTTCATTTTGGGTGCTGGGCTCGTCTCCAGCCTTCTCCTCCACTGTTTTTGTCTCCTTCTGGTCCTGCCCCGTGACCACCTTCTCAGAGACTGTCTCTGGGAATTTGGGCTCCGCCTGCTCCACCACCATGTGCGTCTTGAGCCTTGACCAACCGCTCGCTTTAGATTTCAATCCCTTCGGCTTTACTATGGCTTTAAGAAGAGACTCGCCTGCTGGGAGGCTCTCATCACTGTCCTTTTTCTCAGGTGCCAATTGATCTCCTGAAGGTGATTCTGTTTTCTTGTCCTGTTCTTTGTCTGCTACAGCAGCAGAAACCTTAAGCAGAGGAAAAGCTGCAGTACTTGGCTTTGAGCCTTTAGGTGTGATATTAGTGACATTTACAGGTTTTCCTTGTTCCTTTATTTCTGCGACGTCAGCATTTTTCTCAGGTACAGATTTCTGCTCAGCAGTCGGGACTTTTTCTTTACCTAGAAGCTTCTTTACTGCCTTCAGGGGATCTTGGTCTCCACCTTTAGGCAAAGGACGTTTGGTTTCAGGAGTCTTTGGTTTAGTTTCTTGAATAAGTGTTTGCACTTTCTCATTCTCTGCCGTTGAAAGTATAGTCTTTGGCATTTCTTGAATGATTGTTGTATCTCCTTTTGCTGCAACCTGACCAGATACAGTGCTCTTCTCTTGTGTTACCATTGCTCCAGGTGAGTCAGATGCTTGTGTAACAACAATAAAAGGGACTGGAGGTGTGGCAGCAACCTTCTCATCTCTCTGGTGGTAGTGAGCAACATCTTTTGGTGTTTCTTTGACTGTAGAGGGTTCTTGGCTGGGGGCTTTTGATTCTTCAGAGATCTCTCTTTTAGCTTTATCATCCTCTTTAGTCGGTGTAGTTGAAACTGAAATATCAAATGCTGGAGAGTAAGTTCTGATTCCTCCATAAGCAGCGTATTCAGCCGGTGTGAGTCCACGATAACTAGACTTTGACTTTTGAGACACTTGAGTTGGTGTTTTAGGTCTCGGAAAGCCTATAGGTGACCCACTTAAAGGTGATGTCCCATAGGTGGGTGTCTTTGGTCTTTTATAGCCAGGTGATGTGGTCATAAGTCGGGATGCCTCGTATGTTGGAGTCTTAGCCCTCTGATACCCAGTCACTGCTGGTGTTATTGAAGTTTTGGGCTCCTCAGACCCAGTTGAACTTTTTCTGCTTGACAGCATGGGTTCCGACTTTGACTTTCTAATACTTGGTTGTATTGGTTTTGCTGAAGGCATCATGTCTGAGTGGATGTCCCTATTTAATGTTTTTTCAAGAGACACTGTAGTCTTCACACTTTGGGAAGCAGATGAACTGCTTACCACTGTTTGAGGTGCTCTCGACCACTCTGACTCTACTGTGACTGGTGACACTGCAAATAAGAGAGGATTGGGTCTTGAGATCTCAAATACTGGTGTTGCAGCGCGGTTTACATGGTGCGCTGGTGTTTTAGGCCTTCCTGCTGCAGTTCTTGATATTTGGAACTCATAAGTTGGTGTTTTAACTCTGATTTCAGCTGTTGGGGTGACT